GATCCACTAAGCGAATCACTTTTGAAGGCCTCTCCTGTAACAAGCTACAAAGATGAAATGGCTTTACAGATTTACTGCCTAATAAAAGGAAGGGAAAAGTTTGAAAAATATAAAGAACCTGTGTATTATCTTTTTTTAATGAAGGTGACACTTGAAATTTTAGTTACATCATATTATTGTACTATACATATTTTTTATTTCTAGGTCGTATTCTCACCACACATCCTGTTACACCTGCATTATTAAAACTCTGCTAACAGACTGGCTGCCAATTTAACCGCTTTAGTATCTGATCTTGCTCAAAGAAAATGTGACTATTTGAACACCAGCATTTTAATAAATGGAATTGTAATACAGCAATGAAATCATAGGAAGCTATCAAGAAAAATATGATCAGGTCCTTTTTATTAAACTGACCGTATTTTATTTTGAGAAAAAACTGTAGCTTTGTTAAACACAACCATCACACACGCAACCCCTGCTGCCCTTTTAATTAATCCTGTGGGACAAATTTAGTTTTTACTGTAAAACCTGGTAAATGAAGCGTGCATAATGATTTTGTTAAATCTCAAATTGTGCTTTTAATTAATTGGCAATTTCCTCAGCATACTGTACTGTCTACTGAAGTAACATTATTGAGTATCCCTAATGCTTTCACACTACAGGGGAAAAAAAAAAAAAGAGAGGAAGATATATAAGAAACAACAGCCCTCTGTGGAAAGCAGAAAAAAAATAAAAATCACTGTTTCTAACAGGACTGGTTGTAACTGGGGAGAGGCTAAGAGATCCTCCATGCTTCATAAATAGATTTTAGTATAAAAAAGCTGACATACGTGGCAATACAGCTTCTATATTGTAATATCATGACTTGTTCTCTCTTGACTTACACGGCTCCTGGAGAAGCATGTTACAGGGATTAAATCCCTTTGAATGTTAATGTGTTCCTCTTTTGAACCACAAAGAATATTAATCCTCCTCCCCTCATCTACCAACAGCTGCACTGTTTTTTCCTACTTGACAGAGTGGAACCAGATAGCATGGCACGATTGACCTGATTGTAAATATTGTGATTGTTTTTGAACTGCTTACTTTTTGTGGAAATTTAACAAACCTGGCATCAGCTTATCTGCAGCACAGATAAGAATACGCGTTCAGGCACCTAGAAATCTCTTTCTAAATGATTACATCAGAAGAATTGTAAAAATAATTTATTACCTTATTAATAAATTAACACACATTACAATTGCCTCAAACATTTACAGTGACTAGTACAGGAAGTCAGACTGGAACGTTCCCAGAGAAAGGGAACGCATGTGTGTACACAAATACACATGCATATGTAAGTGTATATATATATTTATAATGGAAAAGTGAGGCAAAATGAACAGCTACAGTTCGGTTCAAGCATGATTCCAGCACATACATCTAGAGTCATACACAAAATCTTTACGAATTAATCTCAACCCTACACATAACTCTCATTCAACTACTTCATACAGTTCGCAAAAGGACTCCAATTTCAACAAAAGCTAGATAACATAAGACAAGAATATGCAGGCTGACCATAAAAGTAGTCCACTACATTTCCATTATCAAAATAAGTATTTTCACATATTTGAAGAGTCCGAAGTCAGATCAGCTGCCAGAGTGCTCTTCATTCAGATTTAAATGTATAACTGACTGATAAGCCAATACAAAACCCGATCTCCCTATAGGATCCTTTAGAGTCCTAAACTTCAGCAAGGAAACAAATACCATTATATTTACTATTCTGAATTTTCATTGACATTTTACAATCATTTTCACATTTTGGCCATCTCTATTCTTTGAATTATTTAGAAATATCAACACTGCAGAAGCAGATTGAAGTTATTAAGAAACTAGCATAGTTTATGTTCAGAAGAGATTATGTTGCCTAATTAATGGACGTTTCCAATCCATTAAAAAATTCCTCAAAAGACCATCATCTTTCTGACACTGTAATACAATAGTGAAGCCTTTGGCATAAATTATTATTTACAACTAATGCGTACTGTGCTGATGCACTTTACAAAAATCATGATACCATTGAGGATGTCTAACAACGTCATGCTTCCTTTAGTTCTGCAGATCAAAAGCAGTGCAACCTGTTAGACAGTGTACAGGCTCTAAGTGGTAAGACAGAAAAGAGCAACTATGTCCACATGAACTACAAATGTTGGTATCATACATGACCTGGTTGATGAACTTAACATGACAACTGCAGTGCACTCTTAGAATAAAGACGCTTAACAAAAATCTACTATCTTGTATTTATGGTATGAGCTATAATTAAGGACTAAAAGTTATTAACATACTTTAATCACAATGCTATTTTAAATGGGAATATGACGGCATTTAGTATTCTATTTATTTAAAAACATATTTATGCATACATATTCTTTTCAATTCATCATTTATACTTTAACAGAGATGAAACTCTTGATTACCTTGCATTTTCCACTGAGGTACCATTAAACCCAAGAATGTAAGGGTAACAGTCTGCTACATAGATAAAGGCTCTTACCCCAGGGTTAAAACAAGACAATTCAAGGTATCTTAAGTGTGCAGCGGTGGATTTATAATCTGAGATAGAAATCTGCATCAACATAAGCACATCAACAGAAATTAGATAATTATGGAAACAGAGATGTGTAAAAGTATAGTCTGGAGAAAGAAAAGCATGAAGGACACGAAAGACGATACCCTTTGGATTCTAAAAGAATTCAAAAGTGTTTAAATATCATGCCTGGGTAGAAGAGAGATTTTCAGATGATAGGAAAGTTTAAGACAGAAAATTTAGCATCTAGTTGTACTACAGTAAACATTTTCAGTACTGAAAATATATTTAGTTCGTTATGGTTTACAAAGGTGAACCACATTGTAAGCCATTGCTTTCTAGTAATTAAAATACATCAAATAGAAAAGAATGGTGTTCGTGAAACAGTGCTGATAAGATCATATGGAAGGGCTTTGTCTAAGAAGTCTGGAATAAGGAAAAATAAACGAGACTTCATTCTAGCTCCATATGTCTGAAAACACTGGATCTAATCTCTATTAACACTAACCATACATTCTCTGGTCTGGTAAATTGAATTTAAAAATGAATATAGATGAAACAAATATCCACCTTACTGCATTTCACATATGTCTGGCAATTCAGAAGTGATGTTACGACAAGTAAATGTCTAAGCACTACACAGAAGTCAAAAATCATGCTGTTTATATAGCTATTCTTCATACAGAAGCACAGACAGACTTTGATGTACTCTCAATTCAAGGAAAGAGGGGGTGGAAAGGTGAGAAGAGGAAGAAAAGTGCTTCACATAGCTTAACACTGACCCATTCAAGCAGTTAAGGAACAGCTTGGAACAGCTCCAAAGGCTAAAGCAGCTCCCTTTCCAGTTTTGCTTTGCCAGATGGAAGACGACCACGTTTCAGGATTTCAGGCAGTGCTTAGGCTTGCAATATCTGTTCTGTTACTCCATTTTTAGCTTTAAAAAAAACACCCAAGCTCATTTGCTTATTTCAGGTACTATGTGATTAAAATGTCTTATCCTGGGGATAAGAACGTGTACCATACTGGGGAGGCTGAGTGCTGGAGGGGGAAGGGAGGGGAAAAAAAAAAGACACTAAATAAAAAGGGGAAACAGAATAAAATGGAAGAACTCTCAGAATGCGGCTGATGTAGTAGCACCATCCTTCCCTCCATGGGAACCCTTCCCCTTCACCCCTCAACTTATGCAGACCTTTCATATAGCTGAATATAATTATTCCATCTCCTTACAAATGTTAATACAAAACATGGAAATATGCTGGTTTTTTTCCAGATTAAATTCTAGCTGTTTCTCTGAGTCAATGCTTCTGTTTATTATCTCTTAATCTAATAATTTTTTCACTATTTCATCTTATACTCCTTATTGATCTGTCAGTCTTTAAACTTCAGTATTACTTGTGCACATTACAATGCTAATGAGATTACACTGCCTTTTAATGGACACCATGAGAAATGCTGTATGTGATCCAGGTACACCTTATTACTCAAAATAGTATTGCTTTCTAGTAGTAAGGCTAATGCCACCGTATGAATTAATATGACAGCAACGTAACAGATGCTTTCTTTAAATTTAAATGATAGAATCCTATGCTGTCTTTGTTGAAGGTCTCTGGTTCAGTCACCCTTTCTAGTCCTTTCTGTCACAGATCTACAACAGATCTTAAAAATAAATACTAACAGTTTTAAATTAATATGTACTGTAAAAAGGATTCTTTCAAAACTCAGAGAACTGGAGAGCAAGAACACAATGGTTACAAAACTACTAAAGAAATTAATTTGCCTTGCTCTTTCCTAACCAGGGTCAGCAACAGAAGCTATAATACAATAAAACAGCATACACTGTTGATAGGAGACACTGCTTTATCCTGAAGGGAATTTCTTTTGCAGTTGTCCTCTGAGTTTAATCTTACTGCTGTGGCATCTCTTACTCTTTTTACGAGCTCAGAACCAGGGTAGAGCTTAATAAGCTATCAACGGAAAGAATTAGGAGTAGAATATAAACTGAAATTAGGCACTAATACAAGGAACACTGAAATGCATAACTTGATTTTTTTCACACTTAACAGTATTGTTAGATTTTAAGTCATACCATCTGTTTAGTGAAATAATGCTCAATGAAATGCCAGCTGTAAGCAGGAAGTCAGAGGCAATTTACAACTCAGATAAGGTTTCCTTACAGGCAAAGAAGAAAGGAACAGCAGAAGAGCTTAAGTTTGTATTGAGAAGAGTAAGATTTTTAAGCTTATACCCCTTCTAGTTCTATAAGGGCTATACAAGCTAAAAAACTCCTTTCTTACTCCTATCCATCCTAGATTTCTTTTCTGCTACCAAATTACTTGCTTAGTTCTGATTCAGGAATTCAGACAGCTTTTTTCTCAGGTATCATGTTGGAAAATACTTACTAAAAGAGAAGATTTCAACTTACCTGATGAAGATCGTTGCCCAAAACATACTCCTGAAAGTAACCAGGTGCAGCGGATGATGCTCTAATGGCCTGCCACAGCTTATACTGACAGCCTCCAATATAATGAGACTTAACACCAGGGAAGTGATTGTAGTTTCTAAAAACAAATGCTTTCAGTGGTGTTCCTCTGTTTACAATGGTGCTTACTGCAGCTACCTAGTGAGTTAGAAAGAGCAAAAGTAGTTATCTATGATGACAATAATAATGACAACTTCCCACAATATGAAATTCAATTTATACCTTAAATACACTTCTGGAATCCTACTTGGTTCATTATATATTTACTTTTGTATAATGCCTGTCTGAATTTTAAGAAGTGAAATTAAAAAAAAACACTAACCCCTCTTCAAACCAAATTCCCTAAAGAAAATGTTATTTTTAATCTGAAATTTTTTGTTTCCAGTGGCTAATCCATTTCTACCAATATCTATCCACTGATATTTAAACAAAAAGCTGGTGCCATTTATGATTTTAAAATATTTTGCCTTTATCAATAATAGTTCATTCGCAAAAGTCTGTCACCAGCAATGCAACAATGCCATTAAATCCAAATGTTAGAAAGGTCAACCAAATTCTTTCTCCAAGAAAACGATTACTTAATACTGCAATCTGAGTTAAAGAATTGCAGGAAGAATCTCTCCCAAAGAAAAAAACCAAAAGAATCAAACACAAATCTTTCAAGGCTTTTTGCAAGAACCCTGAAATGTCATCAACAGAAAGTCACATATGTAAATCTATGTGAAAAGCCAAAACGGTATTTCCATAAAACAAAACTTACGACTGAAAAACAAACCAAACCAAACCACCAACCCACATCTAACAGCTATAATCACTCAAGGTGAGAGTACCTGTACTTATGGGTGAGTCTTACAATGTGCAAGAACTTCTAGTGATGATGCACACAGCCTGGCTGGCACTGTTCAGAACAACAGTCTAGCAGACAAGTGGGTGTTCAATTCCATTTTGTTTACTATTTCACAGAGTAGAGTGTTTTTGGGAAACGTTACTCAACAGCTCTAACAGCTGACGCTGTGATATTACTGTATGCATTTCCATTCTTCAGCTACGTAAGTTAAATAATTTAATTCACGGCAAGTCCATCCTTATAAAAACGAAAACAAGGAAAGTATAACTTCTATATGACAATGCGGAAGAAAAACACATGCATGATTCGTACTCCGTCACTTCATGGAGAAAGTTTCCTGTTCTTGTCAAAAGAAAGGTTTGGTTCTAAGCACTCCCAGAAGAAGAAAAAAGCTTTGGAAAATTTAACAGAAAGCTTATCAAACTGATGCTTGAGTTTATTCTTGGTAATACCCATACACACTTGCACTTCACGAAGCATTTTAAGTTGCAAAGTGCTGAGCACCTTCTGGAAAAATCCATCCACCATGAATTTAACAGCAGCAGAGCACAAAACTGCTGGTTTATTTTGATTTTGCTGTGCCTTGTAAAGAGTGCCACCACTGCCAGCACTACAAAGCAATTACTGGGAATAGTTAGTTTCAACTCTATTTATATTCGCATTTTATTACTGAAGAACATGGAAGGAAGCCAAAGATCCCGGTTCAAAGATAACTTTCAAGTCAACATAGGGCAGCTTCTCTCTCAGAAAGCAACATACCACTCCAGCCTTTTCATGTCCTTGTTTTAGCCACGGACTAGGAACGCAGTCAGTCAAGCACATGTTTCTATGTTTAGAAAAATGTGAATATCTTCCATTTAACAGTAAAGCATTGAATATAGTGCTATGACACCAAAACACCTGTTAATTACAGATTGTTCTGAAATATGTCCTATTATATTTCTCTTCTTTCTTCACAGCCTATCCTTCACCAAAAATAAAATACCCTTGCTTTCTCATCTTTCACTCTCGTGCTGCCGCTCTATATAACACCCCTCCAATTAATTGGTGCCCTTTAGATCATATACGAAGAGCAGAGATCTCGGGGCCAGTGAATGTGACAGGAGAAAACTTGATAATCCAGATAAACTAAGGAGAAACCCTGTTCTTTCACCACACAATAATAGAGAACACAGCTGACATGCAGCATCTCCAGATGCTAGAATTCTTACGCGAAAAAACAAACTTTGCACAACTTGAAGAAGCTGACCTAGTATTTCTCTGCTTCTAAGCCTTTTAACATCTCTGAAACACATTCTAACTTAGAGCATTAAATAAAAATATGAGAAATTGCTGCAGAAATTTAAGACGCTGATGAATTTTTATCCTTTAGAAGCATCTCATATGGAAGCTTGGAGAGCTCATGCTGTTTCCCCAATATTCTTCTAGGGATAGTACCCTTACTCAGAACTCTTAAAAGTACTTGTGGAATACATAATTAGTATTTACCTTAGAAAACTGTACTTACCTTTGGACATTTGGAATTTCTTGCAGTTTCAATCATAAGATTTGAGCCCATTTTTTCTCTACAAATAAGTGTAAAAAATTGAAAACGCTCCATCAGTTTAGCATGAACAGAAGACATACATTTTTATCATCCTTACTTCTGAGAACTTTGCATTTAAAAGAAACAATGCTTGGATTTCACTTTAATGATTGGATTTCTACGGTTGACTTCAATGAACCGATATTTCAAACCTTTTAGGCTGTTGGAAATAAGTCTGACGAGTGATTGTGGTCTTGATTCAGTTACTTCACCACATACTTAACCATAAATCATCAGGATTACTCAACTACTTTGCTACATTTAAGAATTAAAAAATCAACATCTTCATTAAATGGTTTTATAGTAATTAAAATTACTCTCCTGAATTGTTATGAAAACAAAAGCAAAGAAAGACAGACAACATTCTACATGATTCAGAAGAAAGTTAACACATCTACATGTAATCATCCATAACGGTAATTCAATATGCATTTAACATCCACTTTTCAGGTGGAACTTTTTCATATGCACACATTTTTATAAATCTGACAGTGAAATCACATGAATGGTCAACATTGTAATTTATCATCACATCAGCATTAGGGTCAGTATTCTAATTGCTAACGAGGAGGTAGCCCTCCTGCATAGTGCAGGAGACTGGAGTGTATCAGCATACTAGCCAGTAATATCGTATCAGCACCCATTTAAACTTTGATTTGCTTACAGCAAAGGTACAAAACTCTATAGAGCGGGTGCTCGTCCATAATGATCCCAAAGAGGCTTTCATTTAAATCAGTAAGTTTTCTCCCTCCCCTTGAATACAGCCCACACAAACACTGGTGGTGCATCTACCTTATTATGCAAAGACGGTTCTCAGTATGGCCACGCTTTTTAAGTAAGGTGATTCCATGTGTTGTTGTTAAGAGATCATCCACCTATAGCTTGCAGTACTGTGACAGTAGGTAGTAGTGCTTCCACTGTTAAAAACAACACCTTTATCAATCTAGTCCTCAATGTAGACAGTAAACTATATTTGGAGGCAGGACAATTTACTGTTCCACTATTGGATATCTGTGCTTGAAGGATGGCTGTGTATGCGTCTTTGAGAGGGAGGAAGGAAGGGGGAGAGCTTCTAGTCCTATGATTGAAGACTGCTGCTGACAGTATAGCACTGGCTTATGTTATTTTTTCCAACAAATGCATTATCTCCAGTCTCACAGTCATCAACTGGAAGGGGAAGAGTGCCATCTACACTCACTAATTGATTACAGGAGAGGAAGGCACACAAAACCATGAAGTAGGAATATTCAGAAATAAAAGCTGAGATTGACAGAGGTGAGATATGAAAGACATCTACTGATTTGCATCACTTTCACCTACTTCTTCCTAAGTATCTGTAGTAGGTACTTTTTCCCACACCCTGAATGCAAAGATTAAAAAACTGCATAAGCAATATCCACTGCTTAATAGGAATAGTCAAACTGAGTAATTATTTTCTCACATCTTGTTTCTTATGAAGACCAGAAACTGATGCTTCAGAGTAGGTACAAGAAATCCCTTGAACTACTATGCAAGTTTAAACATTAAAGTCTAAAGATAAATCCAAATTTATTTTAGTTTTGTTGCTAGCATTAATACTGTAACTGTGTATTGTATAAATGTCTTTGTCAAGCCCCACTGTTCAACTGGTTTTCTTTACCCAAGTCACAACACAATTAATTCCAGTTTACTCAAATACTGTGTTAAAAGAGAAAGTCTCCCAATTTTAATTTTTCTGAACAGTCCCTTGTTCTTGAAGAAGAGATGAGAATGGTAATCCTTAAAATATATTCCTATCTCAAATTACTGCTTTACCTCGTTTGCTTTTTTTAATGATAAAGAGTCCCAATTCCTTTATGTGATTTAGGTCACTGGCTACTTTTTACCAATCTTCCAACTGAAACCTTCTCTAAAACAGGGTAACTGGGACTGTAAATAGTACTGAAACTATATTATGGATTAATATAACAACATTATAATATTTTCTGTATTTTCAATCCCAGCCCTCACACACTGAATCATCTTCTGTATGCTGAACAAGCATACAGATGTTTCATTAAACTGTCCATGACAACACCCAAATCACTTCTGATATTAGGTTAAACCCTGTATTTTACATTTTTCCACTCATGGGTTATTACTTTACACATAATTTCATTTGCCATCCTATTTTTTCCATTTATCTGCTTTGTTAGTGTCTGTCTGTGACCTATGTCCCCCAGACATGACCTACCTAAACAAGTCTCCTTTGCAAATATTGTTCTTCCACTGCTTCAGGTCGCTAATATTGCAACACTTACTTCAATAATGCTATGAAGAACATATTGCCAAACATATGCTTACAGAAACATTCTAATGGGCTACAGCCAGGGTACAAATAGCCTGGAGAAAGAACACTCAATTTGAAAGGCAAAATTGTAACTTTTACTCCCTTCTAACAACAACAGAAGTACCAGGAAACTATGACTATTTACCAAATGTAGAGGAGGGACTTTTATTCCATGTTCCATAAAGATACAGAACATCTCACTGATAATGCTGCAAAATCTGATAAGTATGTCTGGAGTGAGTAACTGGTACGGAATGTGTTGCCTATCTACTCACTGGAGAGCAGTCTCAATTTATACTTCAATTTACGTAACAAATACTGGTTTGAAGTATTACCACTTGCAATACCAAACACACGCATTACCCACTTTCCTACCAACACAGAACATGTAACTTTTACCCTACCCTCTATACAATGCTTGATTGCTTCTTGAGATTACAAATTCCCAGTACGGGGATTTAGTTAAGTTTATGAAAACCTCTAGCTGCTCACCAAATTTCTCCAGTTTCTCAGGACAGTATGAAAGAAGAAAATTGTATATATAAACAACAGACAAAAGAAAACAGAAAACTTGGAACTATAAGCCTGGTTCTTCTTACAAATGCAATTCAATATAGCATTACATACATTGATGTATGACAAGTATAATTTTCTGCACAAAATAAAAGTAATTGATTAAGACTAGTCCTCAAACTGCAGTTCAAGGAATACATAAGAAGGGTTAAAATAAACATATATGTATATATGTAAGACATAAAATCAATTCCCTAGAGCACTCAGAACAAAAACTCAGTTAAACAAAATCAGTTGTAATTTTCTGAAATGGAATTTATAATATGCCTCATGAATACATGCAATATTAACCTAATGCAACAGTAGCTTAATTATTCTCAGCAAGAATACTTTCTGACAGACAATAATACCATCAATATTGTGGTAGGGCTGAATGTATATTGCATGCCTGTATATGGTAAATGGACACTCTCTATTTCAAGCAAGGCTGACAAGTCTACTACCATTTAATCAACAAAAAGCCACCCAGCACAGGTCAGGCTTTTAAATATAAAAAAAGCCCCATGAAGCACTTTTCCCATGCAATGACCAAAAGTTAGACCTGACCTTCTTATTGCCATAAAGAGATGCTATATAACCTTTCAATTCTCTTCTTAGTTCTAGGCTTCCACACCACAAGGAAGCCTGCAAGAATCATAGAATGGTTTAGGCTGGAAGGGACCTTGAAGATCATCCAGTTCCAACCCCCCTGCCATGGGCAGGGACACCTCCCACTAGACCAGGTTGCCCAAGGCCACGTCCAGCCTGGCCTTGAACACCTCCAGGGATGGGGCCTCAACGACCTCTCTGGGCAACCTGTGCCAGTGCCTTACCACCCTTAAAGTGAAAAACTTCTTCCTAATGTTTAATCCCTGCTGTTTCAATAAAATGCCGTGTCTGCATAGTGTCTCCCTTCAACATCGCAGAATTAGGTCAACAAAAAGTCATTTGTTGATCAGTAAATTTAATTTTTAATTTAGTCTATGGATAATATAATAATTGCCTGGCTTCTGTCCATTGCACAGGAGTAGCATGCTTTACCTCCCTCATGCTAAATGTAGCTGCAAAAAGTAATAGCATTTTAATTAATGGCATGTAAAATACTTTCACATGAGGTAATTTTGATTTTCACAAGACTTCTTTTAGTTGGGCAGGAAAGGAAGAGGAAAAGCAGAGAAAAATCTCTTTTCTAAAAAAAGAGGAACTCCAGATATCTGAAAAGAAAAACTCGTGATATTCATTTGATAAACACACTTATTCCTAAAAATATGCAAGAGCACACAGAAGCGCTTGGAAGCCTCTCTCTCCCCACTTCAGCAAAGGGAGATGCTTAAAACTCAGGCAGCACAGGTATTCCCACTATAATGTCCAGAAAAACTCCTTCAATCCCATAAAATGCATTAATCATGTTCCCAAAGGAATTTATTATTACTTATCCAAAGCAGCTTTGTACCATTTTAAATTTGGTCTCATAGAAGGCTGTTTCAGTTCTTTCAGTAGCAGTGCCAGCTTACACTGTTTGGGAAACTATGACATTGGTTTGCTAAAAGTTATAAACAATGGAACTACCAATACAAATACAGATGAATAAGTAATAAAACTTGTAATAAATGTTAATCATTTCTTCCAGTGACTTTTCCTGAATAGCCATTAATGCATTTGTATACATATCTACGAACAAACATCATTTCACTGGCAACTCTGACACAGCAGATATTTTTTAATTGCAATCTTTACTGCCCATTTCCCTTTTCAAAGAAAGGGGCAATGGGCAAAACCCCTCAATATATCAGCTAAGATTAAAAATTCCTACTGCAGCAGATTATTTCATTTCTCACCATGTCGCCTATAAGAAAAAAGGCACAGCAGGTGGCTGGAAAAATTTGTATCAGATCTATAATGAGTCAGATCAAGCAGAGCTGGCAAGCATACAGGAATATAATCAGAAATCGGTACACTAAAGCTTACTTTACTCCCCAGAAACAGAAATCATTACATTAGAGGCTTTCAATGTTTTGGTAAATATGAAAACAGCTATTTCAAAAGAATGAGACTATATGCTAATCCTTTCTGCTTGTTTTAAGAATTTGCTTACCAGTGAAACAATATCAAAACTGCAGGCTCTCAGACATTATACTAATTACTTTTCTAAAAATCATTTTTTACTTACTTGAGCATTTTTTCCCAGATGTCACTGTCATAAAAGGCGTGGCTCCAACCCATTTTGACTGTTCCAACAATCACATTCTGCTTAAAAACATCTGATCCTAACTTGCGATACAGTTCTTCACAATCATCCAGAGGGATATGGAACAACCCCAACATAAAAGCTAATATAGCCCCTGAAGAAGAAATATTTTGAAATGTAAAATACAGCCTGGAGTAAGATTATAAAGATAGATTCTCAATTAATGTAGTTCATAGGTTAGCAGAACATCTATCTTGAAAAGGGAAGACCAACTGACATTTATATCACTAAATTCCTGTTCAAAGATCACAATTTATGTTTTAAAGGACATATACAAGACAGGAAAAGTCTCCTTTCAAAAACAGAACTATAAGAAGTTGAAAACTGCATTATTTCAGTTTTCAGATTTCACCCCTGCAAACATGTATATGGCAGAAAGCAAATTAAATCCACTGCTTTATCTGGAAAGAGAAATAAGTAAGAGACATCGATGCTGTGGTATTAAAAATGTATTTGGAGCATTACTTGCTATCTGGCAAACTCTGAGTCAGTAAAGAAAAATTCTAGGAAAATTCTTTTAAAAGAAGGGAGTTTTGACTAGTTTGGAACACATTTGGTTGCAACCATTTAAAATGAGTCATTCATACATACTGCCATCTAGTGTGTGCCTAAAAAAACATATATGACCTACCCTTGTAGGAACAAAACAACAGTATCCAAAAAGCATGGGTACAGAATGCCATTAAAAAGACTGTGGAAAAATACAATTAATCCATCACTACAATTCTTTGATATATTAAGCTGAAAGGGACATATGCAACCTTTAAATCTCATTGTGCAACACTGGGAGGACATGTAATTAAGCATTAGGAATAATCAGGACATGATTTTTCCAATTTGGAAATGAATGTAATAGGTTTGAATAAAATTAATTTGAAAAGCAGTAAATTCTTGAACTAGACAAGAATAAAACTCATATGCAGAAAGAACTACATAAAGAAAGTTAGAGAAGGCTTTAAAGGAAACATGACTTCCAAGTTGCTTTTGCTCCCACAAACCCCACTGCCACAATAGCTGAGCGTCAGTGGATTGATGGTCTCAATTTTTAAAAATATAACACACATGCTTAATATACCTGGGGCTAATTGACACATGAAAGTTTCATCAACAGAAACTTACTCAACTGCCAAATCACCAAGTGCATGAATTCAACACAGACTAAATATCTAGCAGCAGAGAAACACCATTTTCCTCAATCATGCAAATCCTCTGCTACCTTCTTTTCCTACTAACTCTCCAGCACCAATTCTAGAATATCATGCATTTGCTATTTTGGTGAACGGTTTCAAATCCAAAGAGCCAAAATTCATATCAAATGCAAACTCATTTTTACTTCACCTCCTGAGAAACAGCACCAAAAACTGCAGTCCGCATCAGCACACAAGTGGCAGTAGATAATACCAGAGTCAAGGTACACATTAGAGGGCTTTGCTGAAACCTGCTGGATGGTCATAAGACACTCACAGGAGAGTAAGATCAACATCAAAGATACAGTGCAGGCTCTACCAAGTGGTCCAGTGAAAAAGTTTCTGATGCTTCCATCACATCCTGCTCTGTATCACAGATTCCTACCACTCCAGCCACCATCTCACCCAGGCCAACACTTCAGGGGGAGGAAAAAACCTAAATAAAACCTGGGAGGCTAAGAAGCGTATCTTGAAGAACACAGGGATACAGCTGGCTAATAAGACACATAAGCTAGAATATAACCTGAAAGATGGAAGTACTCCTTCCTTATTCGGTACTAGTAAGATTTCAGCTGAAGTGCTATATCTGTACCTGAATGACATTCTTCAAAAAAGACGTAGACCTATTGAAAAAAAAACAAACAGGAGTAATACACAAAAAAGTCCCCAAAACCCCATCACACATCAAGGAAATGGGTCTGTGAGGAAGGTCTGAGTAAACAGGCTATGACAAAAGCCTTTAAATGCACAGAAGGCTGCTGCAAGGAGAAAAGAAAGAATCTGTTATCCATGTTCCTGGGGAGTCAGGACAAGAGGAAAAAAATTTGAACATCAACAGGAAGATCCACGTTACACATGTGGATTTTTTTTTTTCCCCAAACGTAAAGCCAGCAGAGCACTAGCACAAATTTTCTGAAGAGGTATGACATGATTCAAAATCTTACAAAATTGTCAATAGTGAGGCACACACAGCTGATCCTTCCCGTGGGAAACAAGATAACCTCCTAAGGACGCTTACAGCTGTATAACAGCATGACTTGACTTACTCATGAATTCTCCTGAAAAAAATACCTTTTCTATCAGAAAGGTTTTCAAAATGCATTTCAAAACTGGAAAGACATCATGGGGGGAAAAAAAAAAAATCACCACAGGGAGATGCCCATTTTGTTTAAGGAGACTCCTTATCTGCAAATCACTGAAGTCTGGGAGAATATGTGGGAGCACTAGCCCAATGCTGTTCTTAACAACTTGGGAGAAATATTTTGGGAAAGTATCCTTAGGTGAAGTATTTATGCAACCTTCACATACATCCAAAACTGCTGATCAAAGAGACCAGTACAATTCAGATGTCTTTGTAGTAGAACACACTGGAAAACAGTATACTTAGAGAACCTTTGATCACAGTATGTCAATGATGTAACCCCTTATATGATGCACTTGAATGCCACTAATTATTAGAACAACATAGAATTTTAGGAACAACATGTATTTTTAAATTCTTGGAGCAGGCCAGCACATTTGAAAATGGGGTAGTACACACTTTGCCTGATCACATACTCTTGATGTTATATACTGCTCCCTGTGACTGAATTGTAAGCGCACTACTATTGAGAAGTATCGTTGATATATTGGGAGACCGCATGAGCGGTTAAAAGAACATACAAGCCACACCCACAGCATACCTGCAGCTAAGTTGTCCTCAATGTGTTAAGTGCTCTATGTGCCTGTAAAAGCATGTCGTGCTCTGGAGAACAGTGATTATCACCCTCACTTACAGAATTCCCACCAGCCCAGTTCCTGGGGCAATGGCACTTCTTCCTCTCAACTGCTTTGTTTTCACCTCTGGATTTTTGCACAGAACAGGCACAAACTTGGTACAGAATTTACATTAACTTAGTTCCCCATAAAGAAAGTTCAGTGGCCATCGCTGTGCTGCCTGTGCTTGCAGATTTTCTGGTGCTTCCAAGCCCAGATATTGTGCTCAGCAATAGGCAGGTGACCTAAGTATGCAGGGCCCATTACAGCATCATTATAGTGACCTTTGTCTGCAACTACATTTACACCCTATGACCACCAGTGAAGTACAGGGAAGCTAACTAAAAAGGCAGACTCTGTGACACTGAATTCACAGCAAACTGCTTATTTCTAAACCTCAAAGGCAAACCAGCTACATGATAGTAAGTTATGAAAAGCACATCAGAAAAAAAGAACCGTAATGCACAAGAGGCATCCTTCCTTTCATTTAACACATCACTCTTTAAACCACTATTCATCCAGCTGCAAGCTTCTGCAAATTCTGTTGGCATATGTACCACCAACACAAATTGAAATGGTGAAGTACACCGCTAGCACATGCTGATGGATACGCACAACCTCTCCCAGCCATGTCTTGTCACCAATTATTGCAAACTGGACTACCACAGACAAATGCTTGATAGTGTAAACAAAGCTTAAAAGAACATTTTAAGTACTTATGAGCAGTACAAACCCCAAAATCTGGTGAAGAATTAAGAATAAATTTAGGTCTAATCAGAGTAGTGGGATGGAATTAAGAACACCAGGCCTCTCTACCAAAGATAAAATGTCTTTGCTATGATTGAAGGAGACATCAGAGAAGTGCTTGGTTAGTGAAACTATGTTCCCAAAAAAACAACCACTGACTGCTAAATTAATTAACAAAGGATTTCTTTTTCAAAGACTATTAAAATCATAAAGCAGGGAACTATATTGTGCCTACAAACAAATTCTGTCTAGCAGACCTAAACATTTTCCTCTTCTCTACTATTTTGAGCATACTAAGCAAATCTCTGGAAACACAAACATTGCATCTAGTCATGGTGATCAGCATTTAATGTTATTTCTGACTTAAACTGTACGGAAGATGAGTATAGTGCAAAAAAAAAAAAAGAATTTGGGGTTCTAAAGGAAACCAAGCTATTGAACTACAGCATACCCCTTATCATAGAATGGTTTAGGTTGGAAGGGACATTAAAGATCATCGAGTTCCAACCCCCCTGCCATGGGCAGGGACACCTCCCACTAGACCAGGTTGCTCAAAGCCCCATCCAGCCTGGCCTTGAACACTCCCAGCCATGGGGCCTCTGCAACTTCTCTGGGCAACCCGTTCCAGTGTCTCACCACCTTCCCAGTGAAAAATTTCTTTCTAGTATCCAATCTGAATCTACCCTCTTTCAGTTTAAAGCCATTCCCCCTCATCCTATCACTACATGCTCTTGTAAAAAGTCCCTCTCCAACCTTCTTGTAGGTACCCTTCAGATACTGAAAGGCCACAATAAGATCTCCCCAGCGCATCCTCTTCTCCAGGCTGAATAACCCCAACTCTCTCAGCCTGTCCTCATAGGAGAGGTGCTCCAGCCCTCTGAGTATCTTCATGGCCTCCTCTGGACCTGCTCTAGAGGGTGTCAGATGTTAGAAATCAGCATTATGCTGCTACTGGTCTAGCATCATTTCCAAAAGAGATGACTGTCTTTTAAAAAGAAAGTTATGCTTTACAGTTTCCTACTTCCAAAGGAGGAGTAATTTATCATGGAGTCACAGAGCAATTAAGGCTGGGAGGTCATCTAGTCCAACCTCCTGTTCAAACAGGTTCAATTAGAACAGGTTACTCAGGACTTGTTCAGCCGAGTTTTGACTGTCTACAGAGACGGAGATTCCACAGTGTGTGCACGCAACTCTTTCCAGCGTCTGACCATCCTTGCAAGGAAAACATGATTCCCTGTACCAAATCGTAACTTCCCATACTCCAACTTGGCTGTTGGCTTTTCTCCTATCACTGTGCATCTTCAGGAAGAGCCTAGCTTCATCTTCTCTGTATTTTCCTATTAGTTGAAACAGCAATAAGGCCTCCCCTTAGCCTTCTCTTATGGCTGAATAAACCCAGTTTTTGCACTCTCCCCTTTTTGTCATGACCTGCAGTCCCCTGACCATCTACGTGGCCCTCTGCCAGACTCACCCTGTATGTACAAGAGCGTATGCAACAGATTAAGGATCTACTGAGAAGCCTAAAACTAGACATACAGTGGCCACACAGAGACCCTTAATCTGTTGGGTATGTTCTTGTGCATACAAACCAATACGTGGTCAACTTTCTTTGCTGCAAGGGTACACTGATGATTCATGTTCAACTTGTTCCAACAGGACCAGGCCTTTTTCTGTAAAGATGGTTTCTAGCCTGTCAGCCCACCTCAGATGGAGTGCTTGGCACTTGGCTTTACTGAACCTTAGGTGGTTCCTGTCAAGCCATTTCTCCACCCTGCACAGGCCAATCTGAACAGAGGGCATTCACTGTACTGACCACTTCCTCTAATTTAGTATCATCCAAGATCTTGCTACAGGCGCACTCTGTCCTGCTGCACAGGTCACCAGTAAAGACAGGAAACACTACTGGCCCAGCATTAATCCCTGAGGGATGTTACCTTAGCTGTCTGTAAAGCCCCATAAACATGTCAGATACTTGTATCTGTGCACAAAATGAAGGTTTCACATTGGTTGAAAAAAATTACAATTCAGTTTGAAGTTATGAGCGTATCAAGAATCACCCAAAGCTCTTATTCAAAAGAAAAAAGAAAGGCTTTAGAAATCACACCTGTACTTTCCAAGCTTACACTCAGAAACGGACAAGTTCTGCAAAATCTACATTTATTCTCAGGATGTTCTTCTACTGTATTGATAGCAAAATTCCAATTTTTGGCTTAATTACCTGTGCTTACACCACAAATGTAGTCAAAAAGTTGATGAACCGGCTTTCCAGTTAGTTCTTCTAGTTTCCGTAGAGTCTGAAGTGCAACTAAACCCCTGAAACACAAAAATACCCCTTCACATACAATAGTAGTTTAATCTTACATAGCTCTAATTAAGCCCACCTTTGCTTAATTGTAACTAATTATAACTGAGTGACAACAACAGTAAGAATCCTGAGTATTTCAGGGAATGAAAGAGTAGCAGAACACAATTAAAGTGGAATGATGAATACTAAATATAAATGACATAGTCAGGCATACCAAAACTAGTATTCAACAGCTACAGCCATACTGTTTTGTAGCCATACTGTTCTGTAGCAAAGGCTCAGGGATGACCATCTTCTGCAGATGTAGACTCAGGATAGATTTTAGCTGTATCCACACCACACAGCACTTAAAGTTTGGTCTTAACAGGGCTATACAATGCCCCATGGGACATAGTATTTTTCTGTCTGTAGTTTTTTTTGCCTCAATTCAATGTGCCTGAAATAATAGCAGAGATGCATTCCAGACCATCGGACTTGTGCTTCTATAGCACAAGGCAGAGTCTGCCATTCAAAGGTGCTAACTGTGCTGGGCTAGAGCTAGAGAACTGCGTATGGCGAAAGGAGCACCAAACCAAGTACCATCTTGCAAACACATTCCACTGAGAATGGCACCTCCTGCATGCTGCCCCCAAATCTGTCCTGGCTTGTGCTGAAGAGCACTAATCAACCCAGTCCAAAACTACAACCAGCTGAACACCACCAATTAAGTGCCACAACAGCCAGTAGTCGGTACTCAGGCTCACTCTCTGGACTTGTTTCATTTAGTGTTATAGATGTAAATACCGCTTTCTAAATATACAGTGTCTTATAATGTCACTCCCCTAGAAATCCAACAGAAAAGTTAACACACTTTATTTGTACATATTGCATGCTTCTTTCTACTTAGTTAAATCTTCATGGTTTACAATGAACTTTTGGAAACACAAATGTTGAAGTTGTGACATACACTCACTCCTTACTTAAGACAACTGATTTTGATGCAAGTAAAGAAATACTACGGGGAAACAAAAAGTTCATGAAACTGTATTTCTCCAAGGACTTCACACTTTCTACCAATAAAGATTTGTGAATCAGTAAATATTTACCAACAAAATTTCTTCAAATAAGCCTGAAAACAAATTTAATGAACATATTTCTGCTACAACTCCTTGCAAATTGTGGTAGGTGCATAAATTCATGCAGAACTAGGGCACATGTAACTAAGGACATGTGCTGCATAAATTTAAAAAAAAAAAAAAAAGCATTCGCTGTAGAAGAAATATAAATCAACAGCACAGCTAGAATACCTTTCCCCACTAGCCTATTCATTCTTTCATAGCAGACCAGTCCTGCTAAGGCAGGTCACCCTCTAAGCAAGTGCAAGAACATTTTTTGTATTACTAAGTCAACACACTCATAAGAGTATAAACTACTTCTAGCATTTCACATCAATTTTGTATTTCCGAGATTAGATTTCTGAGCAGACTAACCCAAACAACCATTTAATTTACTTCCAAAAGGAGAAAGAGCCAATCCAAGCACTTAAGTGTGTAGCCAACTTTAAATGGGTACATAATTTCAGTGTCATAGGAATACTAATGCATGGAAATTTAAGCACAAATGCATACAAAAATAATACCCATCACTTGGATAGTCAAACGTAACATAACTGTAAATCATAAATTGCATCTTTGGGCACAAACTTATTAAAGAGAAACCGAAATTTTCTCTCCAGTTACAGTATGAAAAAGGTTACAAATATATAAAAAACCCATAGGTTTTACCTTGTTCCTCCTCCATCAATAGTGAGGACTCGAATTCCCCAGCCTTTCACAGGGTCTGTATATCCAATTATAGCTAAAGTCTCTCTAACAGCAGCCTGAAGACTTTCGTCATTTGCCTGTCTCAGTCGCAGTAGGCATGGGATTAATTTTTCCTGTTGATAAATACAAAGATATTTCATTATATGTTTATACCAAAAGAATCCAAGCTTAAATTTACTAGTTTGGCATTTAAGCCTAAAAGGAATAAATTAGTTAAACTCAGAGGAAAACTTCTTTAAATCTGTATTAACCCATCTCTCTTTCTAACAACGGAGAGAAAGGACTCCAATATTATGTCATACACGCCTCATTGCTAAAGTAACTACCTATCAGAATTAAACAATCAAGATGAAATGTAAATCTTTTGAATGGCTAGAAAAGCTACATTTACCAGCAGTTTAGTTTTATTGACTTTAATGTCACATTGGCCAACTCAAGTATGGAGCACAACAAGTATAGCTAAAAGCCCAGATTTTGCTCAATAAGTATCACACTGCTTCAAAATAGGAAATGCCTTCTAAGTGCACTAATATTAAAACAAAACAAAAACTAAAATTCTTCCTCACACTGTGTAATTTTAAAATGTCAAATATTATCACAAAGATACAGAGGATTATAAACAAAATGGGAGTAGAGAATGTACTCTTTCGTAATAAAGTAATTCACATCTATTCATGTGGACGCTCAACTCATACCCTGACCAGATGATTCATCTGGCCTGCACTCCATTCCTGAAGATCTCCTTTCCAGCAATTCTACGGTCTATGTCACACACCTGTCACATCTTGTGGAAAAAGGCATGGGACTGACAAATGTTGTGATTTGGGTAGTACTGCTCGAATAGTCTATGACCCACCTCCTGTCCTCTCACTGCAGGAAAGAGAATGAGTAGGACTAGATTACATGAACTTATTTGATGGTTATACTCCACTCTTGTCACCTCTCTTCGAAGGAAGCATGCAAACAAGCATAAAAACTGTTGTGTATATACAGATCAACTGTACCGTACATTCCCGTCTGGTCAACTGCAACAGAGGACACAGTGTACGACCTTCCGTCTACTACTAGAATAAGCTATACTATCTATCCACATGACAATGCTGTATGCTTCTAAATTAAACATTGCAATCTTAAGAGCCTTTAGCTAAACTAATGATAGTTGGCATGAGAGTTTGCTTGAACCAGCTAAAAAATAGCTGTAGACATTCACATTGCAATCTTTACAAACAGAAAATACGACTAGCCCACAAAAGCACAGAAGAAAGTTTTATGTTATTTTATGTCAATTGTCTGTCAGGTATTTATTTTTTGGAAAAGTATAAAGACAATTTGCACCTTAATTGCAACTCCTCTGCTCTCTGGAAATTCTAGAAGATGATAGGTCAGTTCTTCAACCCTGCTGATACAGACTCTTCGATTAGAGGATCTTCGTAGGGCTTGAACTAAAGCTCGAGTCCTGTTATCAATACTCACTCTTGCAATAATCTAAAAAAAGATAAAGTTATACAGATAACATAAAACTACTCTAAGAAATGTGTACAATTTCTCAAGACTAATTCCAAACTGTTATTTTAAGATTTCTCAGAAGTAATGGACAGCATGTTGTACCAGAGATCTGCTACCAGCTCCAAGTAAGCATTGCTCAAACATAAACAGGCAACCTTTTGATTCTTTGTTTACTAGAAAAATAAATAGAGGAGGCTCACAGCAACAATACACCAAACAAACATCTATCAGCATGTACTCAGATGTATTTTCAGGGCAACTGGGAAATCATAATATTTGGACCAGTAAGGAGTGTGAGACTGCTACTGCAACAACAAAAAAGCAACTAGATCTATCTATATTTATGTACTCTCTCTCTACATATACATAAACTTACTATCTGTGTATACTATACACACGTACTACAGACTTTATATATAAACCTACATACAGATGTATGTACTTCTATAAAAAGTATATGCACATTTTTATATACCTATACCTACATTTAAGTACAGAGATATGTAAGTTTACATAACTTACATATAGTATGTATATATAAGTTTATATAGATTTTATATGCGTATATACATATATACTCATTTATACAAGTACATATATAGTTATATGTATGTATAAATATAAACATATGTGTACATATATAGTATATATAGATATACTTTTACGTATGTTAGTAGATGCATAGGTATATACTCATTTATCTAAGTATGTATACCTTATTGCAGCCTTTCAGTACTCAAAGGGGGCTTATAAGAAAGATGGGGACAGTCTTTTTAGCAGTGCTTGTTGCAATAGGACAAGGGGTAACATTTTTAAACTAAAAGAGGTAGACTTAAACTTAAGACTTTAGACTAAATATAAGGAAGAACTTTTTTTATAATAAGGGTGGTGAAACACTGGCACACGTTGCCCAGAGAAGTTGTGGATGCCCCATCCCTGGAAATGTTTAAGGTCAGGTTGGACGGGGCATTAAGCAAGCCGATCTAGTTGAAGATGTCCCTGCTCGTTGCAGGGGGGTTGGACTAGATGACCTTTAAAGGTCCCTTCCAACCCAAACTATTCTATGATACGCAATTTTACATATAGCTATATACACATACATGTATGTATAGAGTATATATACACTTGTATAAAAAATACATATATATAGAAATAATATATAAAGACAGACTTACCTTTTCTCTCTGAAGAGACAGATGCCTTTCCTTCTCTTCTGCAGTCTTGGCCTCTTTTGCTTTGTCCTCCTCATCTTTCTCAGACACTTCTTGTTCTGGCTGTTTACTCTTTTCTTGTGAAACAACTTTTGTATCGGATCTTAACTTGGGAACCAACCCACCGATGTAACTGTCTACAAAAGCTTGTACACTGTTACTGGGATATGAAAGAAAGTTTGCAATACTTTTTTTAGTGGAAACTGGAAGAGCAGTATTTGTCTTTAGAGCACCCAGAGTCTCTGCTTCAGGAGCTACAGTAGCTGCTGAATCCACTGTCTTTTCTTCAGTCATTACAGTACCTTCTGATGAATCAAGCTTATTCCTCTCTTCACTTTTAGAGTCCTGTAATAAAGCATTCCTTTTTTTCTCTTGATCCATAACAGAATTACTGTTAAAGTACCAGTTGATATGATCAGCTACAAAGTTGTAAGTCTCTCCAAAATTTGTAGAAAAGTAGCTTATATGAAAAAGGTGTGTTTTAGTAGACGCTGAATCTTCTGGAGTATCTTGATGAGAGCCACTTGAGTGTACTAACATAGACTCCGAGTTTTCATTTGCACAAGCGGATTTCTTTGCAGCTGGGCCTCTGTTGCAATCCTCCTGAGTTCTGGCATCTGTGACTTGTTTATCATTTTCTAGATTTGCATTGATGTTATTTGCATCTGCATTACTTTTATTTGCTTTTCCCAGGGCACCTGAGTGTGTCTTTAATCGAGCAATCCGTGAAACCAGTTCACTGTGAGTCCCAGACACTGCCTTTGAAACAGAATCTATAGTATTCTTAATTCGTGACATGCGATTGTTCACTTTTGTAAGTCCTTTGGAAGAAGAAGTTAAAAGTTTAGAAACTCTGTAGTATAAGAAGTCATGGCTGTAAATGTATTTGTTGTACCAAAATGTTCTGCTTCTGGCCCATTTACACCGAGGCTCGCTTGTATGAAAAACTCTCGGGTGAATGGCATGATTTATCCTCCAGCAGACTTTAGGTCTATACAAGTACAGGTATTTGTTTCTTTGCTTCCACCAAAGACTTTTTGGGCTAATCACAAAGAACAAATATGCGTCTAAAGATAAATGAACTGTCATTACTTATAAATAATTGCACCTTTTCTATGTTGATTGTCTACTTCATTCCAGAAAATATACTTCAATAAATAAGTCTCATATCACGGTGTTGTCTGAAAAAGAAAAAAACACCACACCAATGGAAACCCCAAACCAGTAACAAGTTAAACTAAAATCACAGAGTTGCTTAAAGCAGCTGCAGCTTACTTATTCTTTCAGTAAAGACAGATAAACATTCAAATCAAACAATCTCATGGGAGCATCTACTGATCAGGACATTTGGCAGTACCATCCCAACATTTTTATTTCAACACGTTATTCCTTAAAGGCCAGTTTAAGTCCATCTTGAGCAATGCAGAACACTCGTTGAAAGCATTTAGCAACACACATAAAATTACTTGCTGGTATTCCCAATAGAGAGAAATACATATCTCTTTAGCAAATTATCTTGTGCAAAGCCCAAATTTCAAAGGAAACTGTCATTCCACAACCAGCCCTTAGCAGAATTCCTCCCAGGGAAAAGGGCACCAATTCTTTGAGCAAAGCTTCAGTATAAAGCCACGAGTTCAACAAAGCGTTCCTGTACCAAGAGCTGAGGGCAGTATGTGATCCTCACTCTATGAAGAGGGACGCTTCTGGGGTGGATCAGAGTTTTAGACAGTACTCAAGAGCTGCGCTGACACCGCCGGGGCGAATCCATTACTCGCCTCAATGGCAAGCCCAGACCTCCCTGGCTGCTATGACGAGTGCCAGGGGGGCTCGGGCAGGCCGACACCAGGGGGGCTCGGGCAGGCCGACACCAGGGGGGCTCGGGCAGGCCGCCACTTGCACAGGCCGACGCCAAAGCAACAACAGCAGAGGCGACCCCGC